AGTAGAGCGAAATTTATTTATATTTGATTTTGAAAGAGGCCTCTCGGCCAAGCTTGCTTTTAAAGAATTGCCGAATGACGAAAAAAAAAAAAAGCTCTTTAATTTGCTTATATTTGTAAGACTTAGCTTATATGAGGTATAAATTCTTGTATTACTAACGAGTTGACAAGTCTGACATAGCCTGGATATGGCATAGAGTAGTACTTCAATTGTATATACAATAGATTATAATAGCAAATGGCGAACTATGAACGGCGTATAGCGAACAACAAATGGCTATTCATAGTTTAGAGGCGCTCTCGATGAAAACAGCCTTCCCTGTTGTGTTGTTGGCATGCTGACTGACTGACTGGTTGGCCGGCAACCAACAGCCAACAATAATGCCTTGAATTGTTGGAGTAAACAACACATGCACTTTTTATGCCATTTCAATGTCGCAACGGAAATGCGTGTGTGTTTCCGTTTCCGTTATAACTTCTAAATGTAAACCTGAATTATGATTCACGTACCACATGGCTGGCAAGCAGAATGAGAAAAAAAGAGAGTGAAAGAAAACAAGCACCACCATCACCACCACCACCACCAGCACCAGCACAACCAGCAGCACCACCAGCAGCAGCACCAGCAGCAAATTGCTATATTTTCCCGTAGTAACGTGTGCAAAGGGCGAACTATATTGGAACTATATTGGGTTTTTGTGCTTGTTTCACCGCGGGGAGAAGTTTTAATAGGACAAGGCATAGAAATGCCTTAAAAATGTATTCGTACGAATGAATATTTTGTACATAATTTCATTCATTTTTCAATGGATACGACATTTCGTTCACGTTAGTAGAAACGCATTGGCGAAACGACAAACTTCAATATTTCTTTTTTTTAATTTAACGTTTTCCTAAAGAGAAATTCAAGACATTTTCTTTACCTACCTACCTACTTACTTGCATTCATAAGATCATAATTGCTGCTGCTATTATTTATTAATTTATTGTTTTAAGATTAAAGTAAACAAATTTTAAGATTAAAGTGGGATGGGCTTTTTAGACCAGTAACGGTATTAATTTCATTAGAATATCTATATATATAATTTATTATTCGTGAATGTTTCGTCCATATTTACCTCACTTCACCTAAGAATATAAAAAGGATTTGGGGTTTGTTTAAAGCGGTTGAAACAATCTGTTCCGCGTTTCTATTCCAAAATTTATGCAAGATTTGAATTTACTGCCATTTGTGTATTAAAGTGTTGGCAACACCAAAAAAAAAGAACACAAATTTGACAGCTGACAATTTAGTTGGAGTAAAGGTGCAGCATTACACGACAAAGTAGTCCGATTTCCGTTTCCGTTGTTCCGTGATGGCTTCGTTAAGTGTCAAAATTGCTGCATTTGGGGCTTAGAGAACACACATGTGCTTGTCGGAAAACAAATTCATCCACAGCGTGCAGATTTTAGGTTGAAACCATCATCAGAGATTGTAGTTCTTTCAAAGTGAGGCTGGTCGACAACTCAGTTGTTTTTTTTTGCCTAAATTGGAAATGATATTGATGTGAATGACATCTGGTGGACACGGAATGGCCCATTGCCATACATCCCATCAAGGAATACAATTGCTGATCGTCTACTCTTTCGTTTTGGTGATCGGAATTGGCCCCTAATTGAATTACGGCATAGGACATCCCTGGTCGTGTACTCCTTTGTTTTGGTGAACAGAATTGGCCCCTAATTGAATTACGGTATAGGACATCCCTGGTCGTGTACTCTTTTGTTTTGGTCATCAGAACTGGATCCTAATTGAGTTACTGCATGAGACATCTCTGGTCGCGTACTCTTTTGTTTTAGTGACCAGATTTGGCCCCTAATTGAATTACGGCATAGGACATCTCTGGTCGTGTACTCTTTTGTTTTGGTGATCAGAATTGGCCCCTAATTGAATTACTGCATGAGACATCTCTGATCGTGTACTCCTTTGTTTTGGTGACCAGATTCGGCCCCTAATTGAATTACTGCATGAGACATCTCTGATCGTGTACTCTTTTGTTTTGGTGATCAGAATCGTTCCCTAATTGAATTACGGCATAGGACATCCCTGGTCGTGTACTCCTTTGTTTTGATGAACAGAATTGGCCCCTAATTGAATTACTGCATGAGACATCCCTAATCGTGTACTCTTTTGTTTTGGTGATCAGAATTGGCCCCTAGATCATGTAATTTAATACCACTGGATATGTTTTGAAGTCAAACGTCTATGCGAACGAGCGCGCAACCACCCGACGCAGCATCAACGAAGTTCGGCGAGAAATTTATGCGAAATGGTCATAAAAAATTTCGATAAAGTACAGCATATGTGCCGGCAAAAACTATGGAGACCATTTACCCGATGCGCTATCCTGCACATGATCCTATCTCATGTATATTACGATTCAATAAAAATAAATTACATTTAACAAGAAATAATTGTTTTAAAACTTGCGTAAATTTAGGAACACCCTATATTGCATTGAAAACAATTTCGATAGCTTTCCTTAGCGTACTTTAAGAGATATTTTCGGAAAAAATTATTTAAGACTATTCGTTGTCTTTCCATATTTTTGCTACAATTTTGATAAAGTAATTTTTCCAACGTTATATCGATACAAATGCAATGAAAATTTATATATTTCCTGTTCACATGCTTACATACATGATATAAACGGGCTTTCAGGTCAAAATTTAGTGTTATATAGTTTTTTTTCTGTTCTTTTTTTTTTTTTTTTCTTTTTTCTTAACGTATTCTATGGTCGCTATTTCGAGAGTCAACGGTCATTTTACAAACATTTTAAGGCATTTACTATGATTTGTAGAAGCATGTATATGCGCGTATGTGTTTTTGAGAATTGCTCATCTGTAAAGCAATAAAATTCATTCGTGGTAGTAGGCCAACACATACATTTGGGTCTTTTTAGAGAGATTAGACGACTAGTAGTAGGAAAGAGGAAATCATATATGGAACGAATTTTGGATACCCAACTACTGAGTTAAAGTCAACTTATATATTTTTTTCATATATTTATCTGTTGTCTTAGGGTTATTTTAGTGCTTTATGCGAAAGGTGGGGTGGGGAGGTGAAATGGGGAGGTAGTTGGTGATAATATCTTGAGATGAAAAGTCAATTTAGTTTTGTGTTTTTGCTTGAATTTTTGGCTTCTGCAAGGGACAGAGATAGATAGAGAGCGAGAGAGCGAGAGAGAGAGAGAGAGAGATAGACATTGTTACATTGATTCACATTGACAAAGATTACCTATGATTCTCATACAAAGTCTGTAATTTTGATTTTGTAGGTGTGTTACAAATAAAATGACGATAAAATTGGCATAGAGCGTACTTTTGTCTTCTCCCGGTGTCGGATATATAAAAAGGTCATAAAAAGAAGAGTTTACTTTTATAAATCTGTTTGCTTCTTCACATTGGGTGAGGAATTTTATTGCCATTCGTTTGTAATATACATTTTCATATATACATACATTTATGCGTGCATGAGTATACGTGAATCGAATAGCTACTACATACCATTTATGAAAGTTTGTGCCCATTACTCACCAAACTATTGAGTTAATTTTTCAACTTGATTGCATTTAAGTTGCAGCAACAGTAGCAACACAAATCGATAGATAAGAAAGGAGACGAAAAGTTAAAAAACTTTATTACAAACACATAATGGTTTAATTCGAATCCAAAGTTGCCCTATTGCCAATTAATAATGTCAGTCAATGAATAATCCGCAATAAACTACGCTCCATAAAGGAGAGTGAGAGAACGTGAGAGTGAGAGAGGGAAAGAGGGTGGGAGAGAGGTAGGGTAAGAGTGAAAGAGAGAGTTAGACGGAGCAGAGTGAGAGGGTGAGAGGGTGAGAGTGAGGGAAAGTGAGAAAGAGTGACAGAGAGTGAGAAAGAGTGATAGAGAGTGAGGGAGAGAGTTAGAGTGAGAGTGAGAGAGACAGTTAGTGTGAGAGTTAGAGTGAGAGTGAGAGAGAGAGAGAGCGAGTGAGAGTGAGTGACTGAGAGAGAGAGAGAGAGAAAGAAAGAAAGAAAGAAAGAAAGAAAGAAAGAGAGAGAGATAGAGAGAGGTGTCTAGAAACCGAAGCCTAATTTTCATTCTTTAAAAGGATGTAACTAGCTTTTCATATTTAATTATCCTTATTTCGCATTAACACGTAACCAGGACTTTAAAGACATATATATATATGTATGAAACAAAAAAAGTTTCCAATGAAATGGATATTGAACGTAGGTTTTAAAGTGTAGTTCCCTTCCTTGGAGCAATCGTAGAGAGAAGGAAATCCTTATCCTTTAAATGTTGCATTAAAAAGGAAACAACAAACCAAATAATTTACCAAAATTTTCAAGTCGGGTCCAATCTTGCTTGATTGAACGATCCTATTTATTATCGGTTTTCGAGATTGCAATGAATAATTCGATTTTCTTTTATTTACTCAATTATTTATTTGGTTTCGAATTGAGAAAGTTACAAACGGAATGACTCACTGTATTGAATTGTTTACTTTCGACATTTAAGTCTAGTGAAAGTTATAAAGACAGGCAGAGAATGTGTAGGAAAATTTTCAAATTGATGGTGATTATATGGAATATATTTTATTCTTGAATGAACTTGAAAAGAAAAGATGAACGTTCGTTCCCTCCGCATGGAGAATCTTTATTGCAAAAGATATTTGTGAATATATAAATTTTTGTTCAATCTCCATAAACGATTCAAGTTTACTTGCGAAAGTAATTTAACTTTTCTATGGACTTAATTTTACTTTTAGATATTTGCTGGAGACAGACAGGCCAAGTATATCAGTTATTTTAATCCAAAAAAACAGAAAAAAAAAGAAAAATTGTTAAAGATTTTATATTTAAGAAGAATATAATGAGAAAAGGATTTTTTCTCCTTTTTTTATTTTCTTTTTTATTAGTATTTCTCCCCTCCCCTACTTATATTTACATTGTGTTTTTTTTGTTCCAGGTGCTTGTCTCTCTGTCAACGGTCAATCGACCAGCCTGGGCAATGGGAATAGTCATTTACGTATTAATCAAACTGGCACACCTTATCTGCTTTATGAGAACGGAGCCAATTGTGAAACGAGCAAGAATGTAAAAACGAAATGGTCAACAAAAATTGAATTTGTTTGCGCCCACAGCGTTAACAGTAACAGGAGCAATGATAAAGATAACAGTGGCAGCAACGGCAGCAGCAGCACTTCTAAAGATGATAGCATTACTGCCGTTGGCCCAAAAATAATTGAAAACTCCAATTGTCAGCTGTTGATACACTATCAAACGGAGTTGGCCTGCCAAGAGCAGATTACATGCAAAGCTAAAGTTTATGTTGATCATACCGAAGATGGCACAGGTGCCGAAGTAATCGATTTAACGCCACTGATTAGTACAAATAAAAATTATCAAGCTAAAGTTGATGCAGCAACTATCAACGAACATCGCTTACCTAATTCGATTAAGGTAAGCATTAATCATAATAGAATTTAAGTATTTGCAGATTGTGCGACGAGGTTTTGCGTTTATCTATGCTATCGGAGAATGTGAAATATATTTTACATACAATATTTTATTTGTAAGATTCTGAGCTGATTTAGCTCAAAGTAAGTCCAAAGCAATAATAATAATAATAATAATTTTTGCAAGGGTTGGTTGCATTTGTGAATAAATAATCCATCATAAGAACCAAAAATAAAAAAAAAGGCTCACATAAAAAGAAGCGACTCATTAAGGTCCCCTTTTTCATATTTTCGCAAGTTTATGGACACACGTCTTCTATATTCACATTAACTGCAGATGATCCAATATTTGTGTGCAGAGCTGTGATAGCTGTCAACTCTTATAACAATCTCTTTTTCTATATCTCAACTAAGCTACCGGATTTTTAAAAATATTGTTTCCCCAATTCTCGTTTATCGAAAGCACTTAAATACCCCAGTTAGCGAAAATGAAGACAACGCCTACAAATTTGCAAAAGAGTTTAAAAGTGACTTTAAGTATTTGAAGGACACGCCCACAACGCTTAAAGGTGTTAAAATTCTTTTTATTTCAGTGATGCTTCTAAAGATTATTGAATTTAAGTGCAATCGCGAAGGAATATATATTTGCTCGATCTATTAAACCAATAGGAGAATTTTAAATTTAAACATTTCTCAAGTTCAAGTAGAATAGGTAGTGCTTCAAAAATTTCTTAAATTACATACATTTTTTATTTTTTGGCTTTAAGCCGGTCAAGTGCTAGTGAATGTAACATCATCATGTAAGTTAAATAGGATATTAATAACTTAGAAGGCCTCCTAAAGAAAATCACATAAAAATAGGTGCCATTGTATACTGTGAACGTGTGAGTTAATTCACTCGGATTCGGATGGATATAGCGTAGATGTAAAAGGTGTATAAATAAGTTGTTACCGGTTTTTTGTGAAATTGCTTTTGTTTGCCTATCACCCTTTTTCAATCTGTTTCATCTGTTAATAGGCTCCGAAGTCGTGAACATGTACCAAACGATAAAGAATGTAAATTGCGGAAAAGGATCATTCAAAAGTACAGAAGAATAGAATGAGAATACGTAATAGGAAAACAATATTGGGCGAAGAAGGGGTAACCAAGTGCAGCAAATGATGACAAAATAAGCAAACGTGGTCAAGACTTATATCAGCGTATGATTGCTAGCCATCGAAAAGTTTTCTCATTTTCAACTGCAGGCAGCTAGGGAGCCGTAACCTTACCAGCAAAGTCCCGCTTTAGAGATATAAAAAAAAGAAAAAACGTTTTCCCACCCTATCCTTACGGGGAACAAAAAATTGCTATACTTTTAAAAATCCAAAACATCCAAGTCAATCATTAACACCGACAGCAGAACCAAATTGTTTCCGACAAAAGGCAATACTCGGCGTTTGCAATTCGGGGGTGTTCATACTTTCAATTTACCGCTCAGTTGCTTTTGCGGATTGCATAGGTTTCAATTCTTTTATTCTTTGTGAAGTAGATTACAACTCTGTTTTTGCAAATTTTACTCCTCAGAGGGAATGTGATGGCATTTTCTTCGTTTCATTTACAAATTAACTGCATTCGTCTTGTATGCATGTCAGTGTACCTCGACGAACTCAAGAGCTCGGTGAGTTAACACGCACTTTGAAGAATTGCAATTCGATATAGTTGGTGATCGATCGCCACCCTCGCAGTGTTATATTAAAAAAGAAGGGTTAAACGTTTTGGCTCAAACTGTCAAAAAGTGATTTGAAAAATAAATTTTTTATTCTTATTTAATTTAATTTAATTCATTATCATATAATTTGTTTTAAGAATTTTCTTTCATTCATTTTGTATAAGCTAAACAAGTTTGAAATGTTTCTTAAATCTATTTGATTTAATTTCCTTTACATTTCAATTATGTTTTAGTCTCTTAAACAGAAATTCAAGGATTTCCATTTGATGTTAACAGCTATGTTGTACAATGTGCTCGTTTTTATTTTGTTCTTATATTTGCAGTTTTTCCTCAATGTCTGTCGACCATTAGTGCCAAAGTATGGCCTGGGCTGCCCAGGTGGTTCAGCAGCATGTATGGCAAAAATGGATAAAATAACTGGCAAACCGGAAGAGGAACAGGTATGAGATGTTGTTTGCATATTACAGTCGTAACTTAACACACAAAAACGTAACTGAAAACCTTAAGCCTTTTATCTCAGTGATATGAATGCTTTTCGGGGCTAGGTGGCTAGGGGGTGGGGGGGGTAGGGGTAATAGTCGTTCGGTCTCTTATAAAGAAAAAGAAATGTTGTTATAACACCCAAACACCCAACAATGAAAGCATACTAAACTTGTTGTATTGTTTGTAATTATATAAAAAGTATTGTTATAAAAAAAAAAAAAAAATAAAAAAAACATTGCTACCGAAGGTAGGGTATTTTAGTTTAGAGTTTCTGTTGTGTCTGTTCATTTAATATGTGCTTTTTAAAAGTGTCTTAAACTGAATCCGAAAACACACAGTTCACATCAGTGTCACATGCAATCTAAAATTAATTCCACAGATTATATATTTGCGAATAAGTGCAATCGGCTTAAATTTGCTCGTAAAAAGGTTGAATACATTAAAGCACTTTTAAACCATTACTTGTCTAGATTACATATGGAATATGGATGTTCTGCTTGAAAAGTGTATAATCAACAGAAAACTGAGCGATTTGCAGATTGTTATCTTAAGTGGTGGATAATCCAGATTAATCGAAAGACGGATATGATTTTGCCACTAACCTCTATACTTTCGAATAAAACGGAGTGTAAAAGAGTTCCATTTGCACCATTTGAATTTTTGAAAAATTTGAATTTGGGAATCAGAAATGAAAAGTAGCCGAAGCTTTTCTTATTTCCCGGAAATTTTCGGTCATTACATTATTTGCTTTACTGTAATGCAAATAAAATAATTTAAAAAAAAAAAGCGACAGTGACAGCCAACTAGGGCAGATCTCTCTTGAGGAGGGAAAAATTAGCAAATTATTCTAATAGTTTGAAATTCCATAGTGCAACGAAATTTTTTTGAAAATATTTAAATGCAAAAGAAAAAGTAATGCTTGGGAGTTAATTACCTTTGTACATATTCAGCATAAAACAGCTCGTCTTCTTTACGATGTCATTCTCTCCAGTTGAAATCTTTAAAAATTTTCATTCAATTCAATGGTCATGTCTGTCCGTTCGTCCATAGTATGTCGTATGAATTCACTCACTCTGTCGCAAAAATTCATAACAAAAACAAAAGTTGACATAGGTTTTCTAAGATGATAGGAATGCAGATGAAGTTTGAAGATAAAAGTGGTTTGCAGTGCCACATATGCCTTTACTGCAAGACACACAAAATTCTTCTTTAGGAGGAGTACATTACAAGTTAGAGATGCAGTCTTTGCTCTCATGCCCATCTTAATACTTAAGTTTAGGTAATTAACTAAACATATTTATGACGATACGAAGGTACTTGAAATTCGGCTCGAAACAAAAATAACTTTTCAACTATGTATTGACACTGAATACTCTCCGAAATAAACATTAGTACTTAGGCATCTCAAGATTCGTTTTAATTTAATAATTTCTCTTATACACAATATCGGGTGATATTGTAGGTGCGTATAGATGTTTTCGTGTGTAAAGATTATTGGATAGGAATTTTCTGTTCTCCGTGATTGGTTTTTAGTCTGTGAACGCTTTCGGCAAAAACTAATCATATAAGTGGTCTTTAGTTACCAATGCTGTAATTCTGTACGTGTTTATCTTTACTCCGTTTTTCTGCAAACATCGTAAAGAATTTCAATTTTTCAATCTTTTCGCTCTTGCTACTGCCATTCTTTCTCGTTAAAGGAGGTAAGAAATGGTAATTAACTTAAGAGTATCTTTAAAGTTGTTTTCAAAAAAACAAGTAAATTTTTAATCTTTGTTTTTTTTTTTTTTTCTTTTACTTCTACTTATATCTTGAGCTTCAATGTATTTAACCTTAATCTTTTTCCCCTTGAGGAAAATATGTGCGGCGGCATATAAATGCGGAAAGACGGCTTATTACCCTTACATATATTTATATAAATGAATGCGTTAAACGTTCACAAATATTCATACATGAATATGCAGAAAGGGAAACGAACAAATATAATAAATTTTATTACGGCAAAAAAAAAAAAAACTGAGAACAAGTCTTAAATATGTTGGTTTGCAAAAGTCATGCAGGATAAGGCAGACGAATATATGTATATAACATGTACATATATAAATATGTATTCTTCAACACGCATACATACGTATATATATATATATATATGTATAAATATATATGCATACATATACAAATATATATATATATATATGTATACATATAAATATATATATATATATATATATATGTATACAACACTTTAAGTTTAACTAGACGTAACTTATGGTCTTTATATGTATGTGTAGACGATGCATTTCCGTTTACATTAAAAAGTCATTCAAAAAAGTTTCATTAATTTACATAAAATAAACATTTCTGCGATTTGTGATAAAGAAAAACGCCAATTAAAGCACTTTAGAATATTTAACAATTACAACCTTGTTGACATTTAAATAACTAAAAAAAAAATAAGTCGTATTTCCTTTAGCGCAGTACGTCACCACTTACTTAAATTAAATATATAAAAACCCTTTTACACCCATCATCGAACGAT